CCCCCCCCCCCCCCCCAAGCTGCAAACGTGGCCTGAGCTGGGGCAGGAAGAGGCCAGCTGGGGCAGGCTGAGGGCAGGGTTGGTTGCCTCATAACCAGAACCCAAGGAAACAGCCTGAGGTGCTGCAGCTGGCGGCTGGTGCCGCAGGAGGCTTTTAGAGAGGCAGCGGCCATTATGTGAGTTTTGAAGGGGCTCTGCAGGCTGGAGGGAAGTGCTTGGTGGGCCAGATCCGGCCCACAGGCCCTATTTCGCCCACCCCTGTCATAGACTATGCCACTGGAGGCCAACTTTTTTTTGGCAGAGGTGCCACATATTAGCCCAGCACCATCCCTGAATGCCACTCTGATAACACTTTTCCTGCCTGATCTGCTGCTCTGCTTTCTGCCCCGTCTGCACTGTGCCACCTGCCTCTCTCCAGTCTGCCACATGCTACACATGGAGGCTGCTTGTGCCACAGCTTGGACACCCGTACACTGCTCTGTATAGCTGCTAGGAGACAGGGCAAGGAGCAACAGTCTTAAATGGCAGCAAAGGAAACTTAGCTTGGAAATTAGGAAGAACTTTCTCACTATGAGGGCAGTTAAGCATTGAAACCGGTTACCCAGAGAGGTTGTGGAGTCTCCGTCCTTGGAAGTTTTTAAGACCAGATAAGACGAGCACTGGCCTAGGATGTTCCTGCCTTGAGGTTAGCCTGGAGCACTTCAGACTGAGGACAAATACAGAAAAGGACCTGGGGGCTACAGTGGGCCATCAGCTGAGTGTAAGCTAACAGTGCACTCTTGCTACAAAAAAGCCAGCAGCATTCCAATTGGGTATTAACTGGAGCATCGCTGACCAGTTGAGGGAAGTGATTGCCTCCCCTTGAGTCCTTTTGCCAGATTTGGGTACCACACTTCAAGAAAGATATGAACAAAACAGAAAAAGTCCAATGCGGAGGAAAAAAGGACAAGAGGTCCTGGAAATGTGACTTTTTGGAAAAGCTGGGATTCTATAGTTCTGTGAAGCCTCAAAGTTCAAGGCTGAGTTGTCAAAAGCCATTGAGTACCGAGATTCCTTTGTAGCTTAGTCCCTGCCAGCGTAATCCCCACCCCCATACCAGTTACCCCCGTAGGCCAGGTCCAGCACCAAAACCTCTAACTCATCATCAGTAAAACTGGGGACTGCAAGTGCATTGGCCCAGAGTGCATTAAAAGGCTGGGTCTTGACCTCTGCTTTATTGGGGGTGGTAGAGCTCCTGTCTAGACGGTTGAAGGAGGAGAAGCTGGGATAAGGCTGGTGACCGGGTTTTCCCATCCTGCGTTCATGTGACAGTCCGGCTGGAACATTTCTAGTTTTCTGTCAGTTTCGTGGCCCTGCCTTTGCTTCTTCTCTTGCACCTTGTGTTGGTTGCGGTGCCGGATTATGATGTAGTTTCATAGTTTCTAGGGTCAGAAGGGACCTGAGCAGATCATCGAGCCTGACCCCCTGCCATGGCAGGAAAGAGCACTGGGGTCAAACAACCCTAGTAAGGTGGTCATCCAACCTCCTCTTAAAAACCCCCAGGGTGGGAGCCTGCACCACCTCACTTGGAAGCTGATTTCTTGACTCTTTGAAGTGTTGCCTGCAACCCAATTCAGGAGAGAGAGATTCAGAGATGGGCTGGTAAGAATCTAGGAGGGTCAAGTTTGGTTGCCATCAGCAGTTTAATCAGATGGATGGAGCTGATCTGGCAAACCTGGCCTTAGGTGTTCACTCATAACCAAGGTACCTTGATCCATTCCTGCCCGGGGAGCCCCTCTGGTACAACCTGACTCCTGTGACAGGTGAGGACTGTATATGGTATATTTGAGCAGATGTCTTTTTGCCTTACCCTTTAAATAACTTGTGTGAATGGATTTAAGATTGCAAGTAGAAAAGATGTTTATTCCAGAGTAGAAACTCATTCTGCTGGTATATTATACTTGAACAGATGATGAATCAGGGGTGACAGAAGTAGAAAGGCCCTGGTGGTGTTATCCAGCATCTGTTTGACTTGTCAAGAATTGTAAGTGGCTGCAGCCTCTTGTGGTCAGGTTTATGTGGGGCCTGAAACTTGGTATCCCCCCATGGGAAGGTGGAGGAGCTATTGCTACTGAGGCGGGGGGTGGAGGGAGCTCTCTGTCTGTTCTTCAGGGAAGAAGGGGAGCTGCACTCTCGTTTTATCTCCTGGTCACAGCATCTCTGGGGATGAGCACATAAGGAGGCGCTGTGTGGGAAATGGCATTTATTTCCCAGTTATACTGCATTTGTGGTTTCTCTAATGCTCTTTTAAGAGTTATGCTGGAGGGACCTTATTTTTACATTTCCTTATTTTCTGTTATTTTGTGAATTAAACTCTTGCATTCAGGAAGATCATGAGAAGCTCCAGCTATCATTGAAAGCCTGCTCCACTAAGTACACATTTGCAAAGCTTTTTCTATTGTTGTTTTGCTCAGACCCGATGTTGCAAATCCCCTCCATTATGCTCCCATGAAGTCAGGATGTATGCATTTGAGTATGCTGAGGTATAAGAAGGATAAGTTAATTGCACAAGGTGATCCAAGAAGTTTTTGGTAGAACTGAGCCTAGAATCCAGGCTTCTGTCATCCCAGGACCTTTTTCCTTAACCCTTTTGTTAGTAAGGGCATGTTCTTTTGTGGGGTATGGTAAAGTACCTGTGCAATGGAAGTAAGTATTAGTGATGCGACATTATTGGGAAGCGCAAAGTTTTCAGTTTCTTCACTATGGCAGGGACCCACCCAAATCAAGGTGGCAGATGGGTGATTTCACAGGCTGATTGCAGTGCCGGCTGCCATGTTGACAGTGAGCCTTGCCCCCGCCATTGTGCCGCCCCACCCGGCACTGATTGGCCAAGGGTCCCTAGTGGCCCCGCCCCTTGCTGCCAATTGGTGCAGAGGGCTTCACGCAGCCCCATCCCTCGTGATTGGCACAGGGTTGGCCTTCATGCAGCCCTGCCCCTCGCTGCTGATTGGAGGAGAGGGGCAGGGCCACACTAAAACCAGCTCTCTGCCAAATCAGCAGTGGAGGGCAGAGGGGACGGCTGTCATCTTGGCTGCTGCACTCTGTGCCAGCAACTCCCACCCTCTCCCCTGGCAAGCTGCAAGGCCAGGCTGTAGTGGCCACTGGGGAGCCAGGACTTTATTTTTAGTAGGGTTTTTTTTTCCCCCCCCGGCCATTCCATGCTAAATTGCGGAAATGGTGTTTTTTGCGGCATTCATGGAAACTGCCCTTTTTTTGCAATTTAAGTAGGTCCCTAACTATGGGGAGCTACATCACAGCCCACTGAGTGTCATGTGGTCTGTGCTTTTCACCACCACTCCCTGACAACCTGCATTTCAAGCCGGATGCCATTAATGCCAGGCTCCCTAACACAGAGCTCTCCTCTTCCACTTTTAAATACAGTCTTGCTGGCTCCCTCCCTGCCTCCCTCCTTCCCTCTGTGCACTGGTCTCTTTCTCTTCTAAGTGTGGGTCATTAACTCTATTCCCCACCGAATCCAGCAGGGAACTGATGGATATTCCCTACCAGATCCACACCCCAGCTCTGCCAGTCTCTTCCTCCAGTCTGTCAGTTGTTTTTATAGACCTAGCCCATCAGTTAATCAGCACTTCCAGATGGAAGCAGTTAAAAGCATTCCTTCACTCAGTAGACTTTTGGGCACAAAAACTGAATAAGAAGAACTTTTCCAACTATTTGAGTTGGTCCAATAAAAGATATCGGATTTATGCAAAGAATCTTGTCTGGTAGCATTGAGAGGAATTTACTCCATAGGTATTCCCTTTCTGCAAGACATCTGTAGCAGCAGCATGTTTGACTCAGCTTTCCAAAGTTTCTTTGCAGCCATAAGGGCTGTAAGCACTCTGAATGTTTACTTAATGAACAAGCTGACTCTTCAGGAGTTGATAGCTTTGCTTGTATCATCTAGGAAAGCTGCTCTCCCTGGGGGCAGTCATAATATATATTTTTGTTACGATTTTGATTGAGTAAAACAATATTCCTTTTGTGCAGGTTCAGCAACAAGTCCATCCCAACCTTTCAGCAAAAGAAGATTCCCTCTCCTATATTGAAGAGCTGATACTTCAGCTGCTAAACAAGCTATGCATTGCGCAGCCACGGACTGTCCAAGATGTAGAGGTAAGCATGGCAAAGCTGTCTTAACTGCAGTGCTTGGAGGATAAGCATTTGCTTGCAGAATGACTTTTCTGGGCAGGACAAACTCTAATATTTTTTTTATAATGCCAGCTCAGCATACACCAAAATAAATGTAAATAGATGAGTCTACTAATTCCAGTTTTCAAAGGCATTAGTCAGTGCTTTGTCTTCAGAAACAAAGTTTAATTAGTGCTATAGTTTGTAATGTAAAAAAAAAAAGTAGTGTGGCTTGCTTTGTAGAGCAGTAATTCAATACTGTACACTTTCTGCCAGCCACAAGCGAAGGCTTCATCTGACATTTTACAGGTTTGTCATGAAAATGTCTTTGTGGATACTTAAAAAGTATTAAGCATGCTTGCTTATACTAATGGAGGTCTGGTGGGGGATTCTTACTAGCGTTGTGATTTTAAGTCATGTTTGATATCGAGTAAACTAGCTAGCGGTTAACTTTTGTTTTATAATGTGTTGCTATCTTGTTGGTGTATAAAGTTTATGATACAACTCAATCAAAGTAAACTTATTCTGCGGTTGCCTGTTAATAGCCTTCTAACTCTTGTTAGAACCAACAGTCTGGATTGAACTCTATGTAGAGATGAGCAGTTCCATATTCTGTCTTCAGACCCTAAGCTCTTAAGCCCTTCAGAATATAGAATAATACCTTGTCCTCTCAGAAATCATCATCTAGTCGCCAGGGCTGTAACTTCCAGCTTCTGAATCAAAAGAGATGATGAAATAAGCATTTGGGTGTGTATGTCTTAATCTTTCACTGGGTATATTTATGTGCCATGAAATGCTGTGTGAGCTAAAGTATTATATGCGTGTCCCATCACTGATATGAGGAAGAAACATTGTGTATTAACAGGTTTCCCAAATGACTGTACTTTCTCAGAGGTGGCAAATGCTAATCTTCTGTAAATACTGCTACTGTGTACACCAAGCTTAGAAATGTCAGAAAACATAGGATTTAGTTTCTTATGTTTTTAAATATAGTTTGTGTTCATAAAGTAGTGAAGCAATAATATTCTTAAAACATTAGCAATATGACCTAACTAGTGACTATTTAATTAAAAATAAGGAAGTATGCCTAAAGAGTAACTGTAGGTTTCTAAAAACTGATATACTTCATGAAGGTCCGCCAAGACCGTGGGAAACAGGAACAGGATGCGTTTTAACACGGACAAGTGCAGGGTGCTGCATTTGGGCAGTAGGAACCAGCAGCACACTTACACAATGGGGAACTCCTTACTCGAGAGCATGGAGGCAGAAAGGGATCTTGGAGTCATTATTGACTCCAAGTGAACATGGGCCGACAATGCGAGGTCATCGTTGGCAGGGCTAACCGGACCTTGTCGTGCATCCACAGGTGCATCTCGAGTAGAGCCAAGGAGGTGATCCTCCCCCTCTACGCGACGCTGGTCAGGCCACAGCTGGAGTATTGTGTCCAGTTCTGTGCGCCCCATTTCAAGAGGGATGTGGACAATATGGAGAGGGTCCAGAGGAGGGCCACCCGCATGATCCGGGGACAACAGGGCAGACCCTACAGTGAGAGACTGCGGGACCTGAACCTATTCAGCCTCCACAAGAGAAGGCTGAGGGGGGACCTGGTGACTGTCTATAGACTCACTAGGGGGGACCAGAAGGGTTTGGGGGAGACGCTGTTTCCCCTAGCGCCCGCTGGCATAACAAGGAGTAATGGGCACAAGCTGATGGAGAGGAGGTATAGATTGGACATCCGCAAAAACTACTTCACGGTTAGGGCGGCTAGGAGCTGGAACCAACTTCCAAGGGAAGTGGTGCTGGCCCCTACCCTGGGGGTCTTTAAGAAGAGGCTGGATGCCTACCTGGCTGGACTCGTTTGAGTCCCGTTTCTCTTTTTGGGGTTTTTTGTTGTTCTCCCGCCCTGGCGGGGGGTCGGGCTAGAAGATCTACTAGGTCCCTTCTGACCCTTAATCTATGAATCTATGAATCTATGACCTATACACGTGCCTGCTTCTACACGTTCTAATTAGACTGTGTCAGAGCAGACTCAATTAGTTGAGTCTGCTGGAGCGTGCTAATTAGCACGCTCCAGCATGCTGGGCATCATGTGTATTCAGTGTCCCTGTGCTTCAAAATGATGGTGGGGGTGCTTTAACTAAAGCTTGTTCAATGAACTTTAGTTAAAGCACCCCTGCCACCGTTTTGGAGCACAGGACACTGAATGCACAAGACATTGCAGATGCTTTAATTAGAGCGGCTCCCAAGAGCTGCTGTAATTAAAGCACCCCCTCCCCCAGCCTGGAGCATGTGTAAAGATGCCCTGCACCGCTAGACCAGTAGGAGACATAAGTCTGAGTCAACATGGTATTCATGGAGATTCCTATGCTCCTGGACCTTGTAGGTTTAAGTATCTGAAAATTGTTGGCTCTACCTCTGCTGTCTGGAGAAAGCATCACATCAGTGCTCTCTAAAGTCTCTCATGCAAGCATTTACATGCCAGAGTCACCCCATTTAAGTAAGTGAAACTGTTCTTGTATGAACTCAGGCACTGTACAAGCATTTGCTGAGTTAGGGTCTAAGGTACCACAAATCCAAAGTATAAAAAGTGTAATAAATTAGATGCAAGACTTTCAGCTTGTGGTTAAGAACAGTTTAAAGCCAGGGCAGTCCAATTACAGATGCCTTTCTCCCTGTGAGATGAACTGACAAGGCAATGGATGGATGCATTCCCTATTGTCTGCATATCCTGAGTAGCAATCAAGTCCCAAATGGAGTTCATGGCATACATTCAAATCTAAAGCCCACAAAGGTGAGGTTCACATCCGAAGGAAAAGTCACTATCTGTTTGCCTGGTGTGGACCGTTAACTGTCATTGCTCCATGATCACTTAAAATAACTCTGGATCTAGCAGGAAAACATGGAAAACACCTGGAAAACACGGGCAAAAGTCCTTTATCAAGGGGACACAACTCATCCATCTTTGGAGAGTTCCTCTGGCTTGAATTTAAGCCATCTACCCCCTGTCTAGACCTCAGTTTGCCTGGAAAACCAGCAAAATATTCCATTCAGATGAGATGGCTGGTAAAAAGTGGAGCTGGGTGCCACCCCACATCACAGGCCATCTTTTCCTTAGCAACCTCAGTATAACATAGTCAAACTTTGCAGCTTTCCACGTCAGCGTCTTTGGGAAAGAAGAGCAACTGCCCCCTGCTACTCACGGGCCTTCTGAGAGAGGAGCAGGGCCACTGGAATTGTGGTTCTACTTGGAAAAGTGGCTCACTTGCATTTTTGGTTCTGCAAAACAGAAAATCTTAATTTTACTTGTAGTGGAACTGGGAGGTGAGGTAAAGAGTTTCTCCAATGCCATGTAAGAAGAAAGGGTACATCCAAAATTAAAATATGAACTTTCCTCACCCTGAGTTTCATGCCTACTATGGTAGATCAATAGAACACTGTGAGGAAGGATTTATGCTTTGTTAAAGATCTGGAAGATCCTGGGCTCAGTTTTTCCACTTCTCTCAGAACCTCTCTGTGTTACTTCTTGTGCTGTAGCTCATGATCAGTAAAGTGGAAAAAATATCCCTTTGTCTTACTCATTTAGACCACAAGCTCCTTGATGTCTTCTCTTACAATGTTTGATCAGTGCTAATGCAGTAAGGCCTCAAGGTTCCACTATAATACAAAGAGAGAGCAGGAACTGTTTGGCTGGTTCACTGAAGAAGCAGGCTGCTCTAGTCTTTGGGGAGGATTTGCATAAGAGAAGTACGTAAGAGAAGTAAAGCTGAGCATTGAGTGAGCAGGAGGGAGGGGCAACAGCAGGATGAAGACAAAGAGGGAGAGCAGATTGCCTGTTTCACAGTCTTCCATGTCCTAACTGTTTAATCAACCTGCATTTCTTATGTTTGGACAGGAGCGAGTTCAAAAGACATTTCCACACCCAATAGACAAGTGGGCCATTGCCGATGCACAGTCTGCTATAGAGAAACGAAAACGAAGAAACCCTCTCCTGCTGCCCGCGGACAAAATACATCCCTTATTAAAGGTAGTTTAAATAAGCGCCTGAGTTTTGTTGGGGAGGGGGTTACTGCAACAAGGTCTGGCATTTTCCATATAGTATCTTTTTTTCTGTGTGTAAGCCATTGTAGAAAAGAATAGACAAATCCAAATTGGTTTCTGATTATTGACTGGAAGAGTAAAGCAAACCATCTTAGTATACCATTAACGTATCAGTAAAAAGCATGAAACCAAACTTATAAACTTCTCTTGTTCTAGACCAGTGGTCACCAACCAGTGGATCTTGATCCACCAGTAGATCTTGGAGCCTTTTGCAATAGCTCTCGGAGCCTCTTGGAGTCAACCCAAGGCTGGGGTGGGGGGCTGAGTGCCTGTGCACATGCATGCACATGTCCCAGCCCAGCAGGTCAGTCCGTGGGGGAGGGAAGAGGTGGAGGCTAGATCAAGGCCGCCGCAGCGAGGGACAGTATTGCTTGTACATAACTGATAGAAATGTTTACTGATTTCCAGTTAGTTCCACATGGATTCACTGAGGCCATCATTTAAAACTTGTGGGTTTGCAGTGCATAGTAGAAGACCCAGGTTGGACTGTAAAACATATTTTTAGGGTGCAAGAGGGAATAGTGAACTAGATACTCAAATTCCAGGTTGACTGTGCAAGGCTTGCAGGAAAGCTTAAAAAAAGAATCCTTTTACATTTAGCATGGAGGTAACGGCCTCTCAAAGATCTGATTGCACAATGCTATTGTAGTGCTGTCTTGATAGCAAAGCAGAGCTGCTAGGTTTCAGATCCATGCAGCCATAGTCATAGCTGAATGTCGCCTACCAGCATTGCATATTCCAGTAGAAAAGAGGTTTAGGTCCTTAATTCAGTCCCCAAACCTCTAGCTTTGAGAAAAGGAAAGAAATGTTCCTTGACTCCGGCATCCTTATTTTATACTGTTAAGTGTTAGCAGACCTTTTGGAACTATCATTTCAATACTTGCATTGATTTCTAAGTCTACATTAGAATAAAGCTATTAAACAATAGCAGGGGTTGGGAAGCATTTCTGATCTAGGCGGACCAGAGTAAAGTAAAACTGTGGTTAAGACTGAGGAATTAGCCTGTGTATAAGGGCCACACACTAACAAAATAGCTGGTACTACTGGTGTTGATGCAGTTATCGCTTTAGTCTGGGGAAATGCTTATTTTCCTTGAGGAAGCTAGATGTGTTCTAGAGTTAGGGATAAATCCAAAAGGTGCTGCTCATTTTTCCTCCCCTACTTTTCCTAAAACTTCTCTCTTCTAGAAATTTATGTTGGAAATCTCTGCTTGAACGTATTTTAAATACAGAAGTATGGTATGAACATGTTTTGTGTGTGTGCATGTATAGGCATGTATATACGTATCAAAATTACTGTACCGGATGGTTACAGGTGCATATCACTTTTAAGGAAATATATAAGTCAAAGTTCTTATGGTTGGTCTCCCATGTCCTGTACCTCAGGAAAGTCAAGTAGCAGAAATACTTTGCTTTTGCTTTTCCCTTTTAACTTGTGCTTAACTTTTAAATGACCATAAATATCTGGATACTTAATTTCTCTGACATTCTGTTAACTTTCTAAATGGGATTCTTCTGCTATGAAAGATGTGCATTTTGCATTAAAAATAATGTTACGTACTATGACTATTATGAATCCTTTTTTTTTTTTTGGTTTATTCCCCTCCCTTCAGTGCCCATCTGTGGGCAGTGAACATGCTGGAATCTTAGATTCATGCTAACATTTTAAACATACAAACAGTTCAAATGGACTCTTTCTTTCAGTAGAAATTGAGTGCCTAACCTTTTTTTAATAAGGTTGCCTTGAAATTTCCCAGCCTGCAGGTGTATTTTTAAGGGGAAGGTGATTATTATTTTCAAAAGTTTTCATGCTTGTTGCATGACAAGATGCGCTGAGGTTTCCAAAGCAGCTCCTTTTTGAATGTTGTTAACTTGATTCCTGCTTTCTTCTGTGTCCTACCTCTTGCATCTACAAGTTAGTTGGTCATTCACAGCAAAGATTCATTTTGGTGAAATGTTTAAAGGTATTGCTCTTCAATTATGACATTAAACAGTAGATAACACTCAGGAATAAATATGGCTTTACTGTTCTTAATTTGCAGGAAGTTCTAGGCTATAAAGTAGATTATCATGTCTCTCTCTATATTGTGGCTGTATTGGAATATATCTCGGCTGACATTTTGAAACTGGCTGGCAACTATGTTTTCAATATACGGCACTTTGAAATCTCCCAGCAAGATATTAAAGTATCTATGTGTGCTGATAAGGTAAGAAATAATGGATGTGATTAAACCATTTAAATATTGCATAACATGCTTTTAGAGAGAGAGGGTTCTTATATAACATTTTTCTCTAGTTCTTAACTACCTGTTACCATTACGCCTACCTTGCTCATGTCACCACCTTGTAATGGAAGATATTCCCCTAAAAAAATTTGTTTTAGTTTCATCCTCATAGAATTGAGAAACCTTTTTAGGAGAGTCTCAGCCAAAGCTTTTATAAAATGCTTTACAATCTGAATCCCGTGTTCTTAAAATTTAACTTGCTTCCATGATTGCATTAAGTTATGAAAGGGAAAACACTTTTGCAGTTGATCTAGACCAGGGGCAGACAATTATTTCAGATGGAGGGGCACTTGCCCAGTGTTGGCAAGCTGTCGAGGGCTGCATGGGTAGCCCTGCCCCCTGATTGTCAACTTCTGACTGAAAGTCCTGCACCCTAACCCCAGAAGTCCCGCCCGTTGCCCCCAAAAGTACTCCTTTCAGCAGGGGGTTTTGCCATTTTGGAACCAGAAAAATACCACAGTATATTCTAGAAAGCAAACATTTAAAACATTCATTAATTTGATTTCAAAAAATATTTTTGTCCTGGTTTGCATGTGTTTGTATAGTGCACATAAAGGGGGTTGCACAATAGTTTAAAATGAAGTCTTACTCTTGTATATTGTGGGGGGCTGTGAGGGTGTGGGGGAGGGTGTGCATGTGTCTGTGGTGAGTGGATAGGTGTGGGTGTGGGGTGAGAGGTGGGTGGGTATGGGATTTGCAGGGGGAGGGTGGCTGGGATGTGTGAGGGGGTGTGGGTGTGGGGGTCTGCGTGTATGACAGTGTGAGGGGGATGTGGGTGCATGTGTATGTGCGAGGGGGTGTATGTGGGACTCGCCCTACAAACACACACATACCCCCGGGGTACTGGTACGGCCTATGCTCCCTGTTCTGGCTGTGCAGCCAGAAGCAGTATGGTACTGGAGCAGTGCGGGGACAGAAAAGCAGGGGAATGGCTGGGGGTGGGGTGGAGCTGGGCGGCTGCGTTCCTGCTGAGGCTTACTCTGGGTCCTACAGCCCCTGGCTCCTGTCATTTTTGACAGCAGCCAGGAGCAGATAAATTTTTTCTAAATTTTTTAGGGGCCCTGTGGGCCAGGTAGAATGGCCTGGCAGGCCGTATTTTGCCCATCCCAATCTAGACTGATCCTGCCAGAGATATAGTATTACTTATTGTGCTTTTGATCCCTGAGAGTGTTCTGAAATAGTTTACTATATGCTGAACAAATTAATACAATTCAGTTTGTGTCGAATACCAAGATCAAATTTGAAATGAAGATTTGACTTTCATTCTTTGCTAGGTTTTGATGGATATGTTTGATCAGGATGACATTGGTTTGGTTTCTCTCTGTGAAGATGAGCCCTCTACTTCTGGTGAACTCAGTTACTATGACCTAGTGAGAAATGAAATTGCAGAAGAAAGACAGTATCTACGGGAGTTGAATCTGATAATTAAAGTATTTCGAGAAGCTTTCCTATCTAACAAAAAGTTGTTCACGTCTTATGTAAGTCCCTTCAGTAGCTTAGTATGTTTTAAGTCTTGTGTCTGTTTTTAACCATAGCTTCTCAATTTTATGTAGTGGAGTAGATGAAATTTGTTTAATATATGCCAGTATGTAACTTTGTATAGTACCCAGTGACCCAAATGGAAGGGGACATGCAGATAGCCATCTTTGAGGAATATTGGAGGATTGGGCCAAAAGAAATCCCATGAGGTTCAACAAGGACAAGTGCAAGGTCCTGCACTTAGGACAGAACAATCCCATGCACTGGTGCAGGCTGGGAGTGACTGGCTGGGTGGCAGCTCTGCAGACAAGGACCTGGGGGTGACAGTAGACACTAAGCTGAATATGAGCCAGCAGCGTGCCCTTGGTGCCAAGAAGGCTAACGACATCCTGGGCTGCATTGGTAGGAGCACTGCCAGCAGATCAAGGGAAATGATTATTTGCCTCTATTCAGCACTTCTGAGGCCACATCTGGAGGCCTGTATCTAGTTTTGGGCCCCCCGTTACATAAAGAACATGGACAAATTGGAAAGAGTCCAGCAGAGGGCAACAAAAATGGTTCGGGGGCTGGGGCACGTGACTTGTGAGGAGAGGCTGGGGGAACTGGGCTTATGTAGTCTAGAGAAGAGAAGATTGAGGTGGGATTTAATAGCAGCCTTCGACTCCCTGCACGGGGTTTGCAAAGAGGATGGAGCTGGACTGTTCTCAGTGGGGGCAGGTGACAGAACAAGGAACAAAGGGCTCAAGTTGCAGCAAGGGAAGTTTAGGTTAGATATTAGGAAAAACTTTCTCACTGGGAGGGTGGTGAAGTGCTGAAATGAGTTACCTAGAGACATGGTGGACTCTCCATCCTTGGAGGTTTTTAAGGCCCAACTTGCGAAAGCCTTGGCTGGGATGATCTAGTTGGGGCTGGTCCTGCTTTGAGCAGGGGCTTGGTCTAGATGACCTCTTGAGGTCCCTTCCAACCCTAACTTCCTATGATTTGCTGTCCACAGAAACTGCAACGGAATACAGCCTTTAGGATTGTGTTGTCTAATATAGACTGTTAAACCTTTTAAATGGACATGTGGCAAATTGAATAATCTTCTTTAAGCTGCTACTTAAAGGGAGGGGAGTAAGTGGTAGAATGGGGGTGGCTCCTGAGAAGAAGATGGAGGAGAAAGGAAACCAAGCTGGTTGCACTCATCAGGTACAAGAGCTGTCCCTAGGGAACATGAGAGTAGGCTATTTGAAAAATGTATGGACAGTTTGTTTGGTTTTTTTTTGTTTTTGTTTTTTTTTTTTAAAGAAAAGAAGCAGCTAAAACTGCCTGTCTGTAAAGTCCATAAAATGGAGCTGTCCGTAAGTTGCGGGGAGGGGTGCTAAATAAAGGAGAACTTGATTTTCTACCCTTCAACAGAGTTTCAGAGCAGAGTAGCACCACCTGGTGTCTGAGGAGCTCAACACCCTGCCGGGAGCATCCAGTGCTTTACAGCCCCCAGGAGCCTCTATGGCCTATGTCCCCCCACTCCTAGCCATGTGCTGCTGCTGTCACCTGCCTGTAACATTGCTGGATTGCAGGTCAACGGAGAGTAGCCATTCTTTGGGGGCTGGGGTGGGGCTGGCAGGGGTAAATCTGAGGGGTGGGCAGCATGGTGCAGGGTGTAATTGGAGTCATTGGGTTGTGGGACTCCTGCAGTGGATTTAGCTTGGTGTAGAACCATTGATGCAGTCAAGCAGGATTGCCAGCCCGAGTTTTTTACTGATGATCTGCAAACTTTTTAATATGGTTGATGTTAAATCCCTAAATTTGAACCTGGCCCTTGTCCAGGAGCTGGTAAAAACAGTTAATAAAACATGTCAGCCATAATATAAAACATGTCAGTAAAAAGTTTGCAGATTGCCATTCCAAGACTTTTTTTTTATTGACAACCCTGCCTTGAGAGCAGTAGGAAAAGGGGAAATACAGGTCTTACAGATAGTCACCACAGCTGATTATGGAGTGCCTTGGTATTGATTGGGGAGGATGGAATAGTTTTGGGGAAGAGGCCAAGCCAAGAGGATAGGAGGAGAAGGGAGGCATTCTAGCTATGGGGAGAATCCCTTTAGCATGTCAAAGGGATTGAGAGATTTCGGGCTTGGTGTGTGCCAGGAGAAGATGGCCTGAGTTTGCAGCCACTGGCAGGAGAAAAGCAAGATACTGGGGTTCCTAGAGAAGGAAAAGGGCTGTTTGGGGGTTGGAGTCAAAGGGAAGGTACATTGTGGAATATTGCCTGTAAGTGGGGGTGTTTCTAGGGTATTGAAGCACTAGCTTTTAAACTGCCACTTCCCTTCTCGAAGCCAGTTAGGCACATTAAGAAAGAACAAGTGAAGAGCTTGCATTCAGAGCTGCTTTTAAATTGCCACTCCTGTTTTAAATTCAGGAAGAGGGAGAGTAGGTAAAAGGGGTGGAGGGGGGCGTGGTTTAAGGCATCTTTAATCTGCTACTTCCCATGCTGATTTGTGATCCTTTGTACAGGCTGGAAAGATTGTACACTAGTGTTGTAGGCAGAAGCTAAGTAATATGAACTGCTAATGGCTATCCACTTAGTAGCCCCTAGCATCCCTTACTAGAAGCATTACTCATGGCCCCTGGAAAAGGATGTGTGTCATGATGTTGGGGGCTTTAGAAGTAAAAATGCTGCAGTGTTAGATCAAATTAAATCTAACCAAGAACAAATACTTGGCCTGAAGTGATACCCTGGAGCTTGGCTTCCTTCTCTGTTGGCTCTTCCCTATGTAGAGGATAGCTCATGTTTCCTCTGAATCTCTTGAATGCGTAGAAAATGACTTGGCCCCAAATGTATCTCACTCGTGTCTTATTTGCAGGACATTGACATGATCTTCAGCAACATTTCAGATATTCATGAACTGACTGTGAAGCTCTTGGGATTGATTGAGGATACTGTTGAAATGACAGATGAAAGTAGTCCTCATCCTTTGGCTGGCAGCTGCTTTGAAGATCTGGCAGAGGTGAGCTTAAATCACTTCATTAGGAATATTTAAGATTTTCTTATGAAAGGACTGGGTTAATATGTGTATGTGATCTAACGGTTTCTTGTAACCTTAAAATCTGCAAATGATCACATCTTGAACTCATCAAATTATATTCCTGATGCTGGAAGACCTTCCTAATTGGGCAGTGTCACAAACAAAGATCACACTGCCCCTTTCAGAACGAAAGGGGAAGTCCGTCCTTGGGCCTCCCCCAAGAAGCAGCCTTACTCATTCTTCCTCTCCTGAGGGGACCCCCTGCAGTCAGCCCTGGCTTGGCTTCACAAGGGGCAAGCCTCTGGCTTTGAGACCCTGGCTCTTCTCAGGCCCTGGCTTCCCCAGGGGTCTGTAGCACCCCCGTCTCTAACAGCTCCTTCTTTTTGGTCAGCTTTTGGGAAGGAGAGCAACGTCCTCTTGTTTTTCAAGAGTCAGAATGCCAACGTCCCAAACAGCACAACAGACTGCTCCAAAATGGCTAGTCTTTATGGTCCGTTCCAGTTATGCCTCTCCTCGCTCGGACTTTACTCTGTACACCCTGGGACTGTTTTTTCTCTCCCTGTTCAACCTGGGCCCTTATCTCCCTGTCTGCCCTGGGACCTTCTCCCCTTAGCTCCCTCAGAGCCTCACTCTCCTCCAGCTCAGCTAACCACACTTGCAAGAAAACAGGGACAACAGTCATCTAATACGATGAAACATTAAGTCACGGAGGACCAGTCAGGTGGCAGTCTGTATGGTGTGCTGTCAGACCTAGACTACCATCTGTCCCTGGAGTGAGAAGGGCATACAGATGTCCTACTTAAGGAAATATGTGCAAGAACTATCTACCGTACAGTCTGCCCAAAAGTGCTTCCCACCAGAACTGCAGGCTAGATTACAGCTCGCTTAGCTTCCTCTGTCACAGGTGGGCACCTAGCAAGTCAGGCTAGGCTGGGATATTGTTCAAGGGGCTTTTATTCATATTCTGTTCCTTTTGCTTTTATGTTGTTTCTGTCTTACTGCAAGCCTTTGTTGGGAAGAACATTTTATCTAATAAATAAAGCATGTCACATTGGCCTAAAGTTACCTTGTTTAGAAAGATAGTGGCAGACTGACTTTTCCGTTTCACTTTTAAGTGCACACTTTCTTGAAGACCTTTGGAGTGCAAGAGCCTGTGCTGTTCTTGCACAAGTAATCAGCCCAAATAAAGATTGTATCAGTTTTGATAGGGAGCAGATACTGTGATCTCTGCTTAGTGTTGCATAAAGACTTTACTTTGCTTGCATAACATGAATAGTCCCACCGGTCATGTGGCACCTCATTTGAATAAGATTTCACCCTAAAGTTGTTCCAAATAGAGGCACTTACAAAATGCTAATCAGAAGCAGTTGAATGCTGGTCAAAAACAAATAGTTGTTTTAAAAGAACTGAGCCTTTAACAGTTTCCATTTGACATGGTTTAGTCAGGGATGATCCTGCCTCGAGCAGAGGTTGGACTAGCTGACCTTTTTGAAGTCCTTTCCAGCCCTGTTTTTTTGTGTTTCTATGAAACTGCAGCATAAGATCCTGGAAAATGTGTGCATTTCAGGTGACTGCTGAACTCCTCTGTAGACATGTACATATGTATTTCTGTGACCATAACAGAGCCCATTCAGTGGATCAGATTGTGGGGTTTGGGGTTTTTTTAACATCTCATTCACTGAAAGATCTTAATAAACAATGGCAAGATAACTGCTATGTGAGCCTCCTTTTTGCTGAGGTGCTGTGTCAGTAGTGATTGTAGTGTTCGGTGTGTCTTTGCATGGGCAGTTCTGAGCAAGGCCTGCTAGCCCTGTGGTTGGAACATCTTGCGTTTTACCATTGTTCCATTCGTAGATGTATGGAAAATAGTTGTTTAGAGTAGTGGTCTCCAAAGAGGGATGCATGCACCCCAGGTGCGCAAGACGATCCATTAGGGTGCAGGTAGAAAATATTAGATTTATATAAATGTACATATATTGGGGGTGCGTGCTCAAAAATTTTTTACTGATGGGGTGCGCGATCAAAAAAGTTTGGTGACCACTGGTTTAGAGAGTGCTTTAAAAATGATCTGTTGCTGTGCACTCCATTTTGCTTTAGAGTTAAGGTTGTCTGTAGTAATAGTAATGACCGTTTTAATCGCAAATTCAGCTTTCAGATTTCAATATGACTTGCTTCAAAAATGTCTTCAGTATTTGCAAATTATTTGGTTGCTTTCTGTGGGGGAAAACAGTAGATAGGATTTTGCCATGAAAAGTTAGAGAAGCAATAACTTTGATCACAGGCTGGGAGTGGAAAATGCCTAGCACAGTTTTAACTGTAGCAGTCATAACCGGCTGTAATGATATAGAAACAAAGCATGGGATGTGCATTCCACTGCAGGCACACATTTTTCATGTATGCACGATCAGATTCTTTTGGATACCAATGTTTAGGGCTGCATGTGTCATCTGTTGTGCATAAGGACATGAAGGGAAGGGCAGGATGGCCGCAATCCTCCCTCAGCTCCTTACCACGTACGGTAACAAGCCGGAACTAAGTGAGTGTCTGGCTTGCTAATTCTGCAGTATGTCAGACCTTCCTTGGTGGCTGGTTTTGGTGGAGATCTGTTGCATCTTGTAACTCGGGGGTCATAAAAGTTTTTGGCCAGAGTGCCAAAATCCCCCCAGCCTCCACCCACGTCTTGACTTGGCGTGCCAGAGACGGGGGAGCTGCAAAGGGCCCGATCCTCATTGCTGGCAGTGGCTGCACGCATACCTCCCGGTGGGCAGCAGGGGAGGGGCCAGGGTTGCACTGCTTCAGCCCCTTGCCTGGCACACACTGGGACTTCATAATGTCCTGTTGAATGGTAGAGAAGACTTGTGTAGCCTGACTTTCTGATGATGAGATTACTAGACAACTGTAAGAAATTGCTTCTTGGTTCCCAGCACTACATTCAATTAAATCTATTAGTGATAAATATGAGACTGAAAAGTGGTAAGAAAATGTGTATTCATATTAAAATACAAAACTTTATGAAGTGCTTAGTATTGAATAAATTGCCTTATAAGGCAAATCTTTTTTAAAATTCATGCTCAGATTTCAGTTCTCAATAAATGAATTATAGGAGCTGAGCGTACACCATCTCTTGCCTATTTTCACATATGTACCTTTTTGCCCTTTCTTTAGGAGCAAGCTTTTGATCCGTATGAAACTTTGTCCCAGGATATTCTTTCCCCACAGTTTCTTGAGCATTTTAATAACTTGATGGCTAAACCTGCTGTGGCCCTACACTTTCAGGTAAGTGCATGTCTGAAATCTAGAAGTATCACATTTGTTTGGTGATGTCTGTGTTCCTTTCTGTAGTGTCTATTCCCCATCCTTCTTTCAGGGAGATGGGAAGATTTTGTTGGCAGTCTGAAGAATGGCCTCTTCAGTCCAATATATTTGGACTGTGCTTCTCTTCCTGCAATTACTGAAGCAGCTCAGACTCAAGGCTAGGTCTTGCTCACTTCCTTTCTGTCCTCGCGCCAGATTCTTTGCCTCCAGCCATGCAAATACAATGCTGATGCAGCATTCCTCCCTCTTCGTTGCATCCTGGCTTTGGTGCCAAATTATAGGTGGTCATCAATGATCAGTGACTGTCTCGGTTCCTGTCCACAGTTGGTGATGTAAGTGTGGACAGTTCTTCAGAAATCATTCCTTTAACAACATCTCCCACTGAGCTCCTCCCATCATTAATTTCCCCCTGCCCCAGCCTGGCAGATCTGCTAAACAGTGCCTGCCAAAGCCTGAGGCCTTCATCTGCAAGGAGACTCGGAGAAGCCAGAGAAGAACTTTGTCACAAGATGCTCCAAGCCACACGTCTGTTTAGGCAAGGGCCCATTTTGGATCACTTGATGGGCCTTTTATCCCAGCATGCCTGCTTAGGCATCTGTTCAGGGGTGGGTCAGTCCTGTTCAGCTCTTGGATTGGTAAGCCATCTTACACCTGAAGGCTTCTTGGCTGATGAAATAAAACACTTTTTCACTCTGAACTAATGGCCCAGTCCTCCTCTAAAGGGAAGTGAAAATGTAGGGTCCTGTCCCAGTGTAAATGGCTAATTTAGTCATGTGATAAGGAATCTGGCATCCTTTCTGACTCCTTTCCTAGTCAGAGGATTTGGGCTCTGCTATGGATGATCCTTTGTACTTCTCCAAGCACTGGAGTGAAGGCAAAAGGGTCTGGCTACCCCCAGAGTGCCATGGACAAGTCTGAGCTGCCTCTAGAAATTGCAGAAAGAATGATGCATCTAGACATCTTAAACTGATGGAAGAGGTCATTTCCAGAAAGGGGATTTTCAGGTAACTTTCCATTCAGTGGTTACCACATTCTGTAAGGTGCTAGTGATTTCTCCCTGTTCTTTCTTCCAGAAAGCCCTATTCCTTTACAACGGGGGTTGGCAGTTTTTTTCTAGCAGGGGCCCCTTTAATAGAAGCTACCTTCAAGCACAAGGCATTTCCAGTCCTGCTCATGCTGCTTCACCTAAAGCCACCACTCTCCACCTCTCCCAGCACTGCTACTGCTGCTTCTTCTCCCCTCTGCCTGGCTGTTGTGTAGGTGAAGCCTCCCGCAGTAGAAATGCCACCAAAGCCCCCAGTACTGCAGGCCAGATGTGGCCTATGGACCAAAGCTTGCTGATCCCTGCTTGTATAAGACCTGGAAATTTTGCTGTTTTTGCCTTCCAAGTTATTGCATTCTGTTAACTCATGGAAAAAATTAAGCGGTTTCTAAATCAAAGACGTGTTTAAACAAGTCCATGAATCCAGAAGTTACTACTAATAATTAATTGTGTATTAGGCAAGATCTTCTGATTTCTGGAGCATGTCAGAGGGGTAAATTAAGACAGAACATGCATATCTGGGACCCTGGGCCCAGCAAGCTTGAAACTGCCAAGAATCCTGAAGAGGAGAGTATATCGCCAGGCCATGAGATACAGAGGCAGGTGATAGTATTGGCAGAACAGAGATGGAATTGCTCCAAGCTATCTTTGAAGGCTGTAGGAAGCTGGGGTTTTCTGAGTGCGCTGTGCAACAAAATCACTGGATTTGGGTCTGAGTCCTACTTAATCTTTTGATTGTTCGCTGTATTCCCCACTGCTCTACAGCAAGTGCTTTAACCCCTTCCCTGTTTTCTCTGGTTGCTAGGTAGCAGCCAAAAAAGCAATACTACTTTCTTTTTCCTTTTCAGTCTGTTGCTGATGGTTTTAAAGAAGCTGTACGATATGTCCTTCCACGACTTATGTTGATTCCAGTCTATCATTGTTTGCACTATTTTGAGTTATTACAGGTAAGAAAAATATTTCAATCAGAAAGCAGCAGTACAGAAGTGCCATTTCATTTAAAGCATGTGTAATACTGACCAAGCACATTTGTTTACCAGTTAAGGACAGAGGGGAATGTGAATGTAGGTAATAAAAAAAATTACAATAAGGATTTAATTGCTTGAAAATAAATTGTTTTAAATATATGTTTGGCATAAAATAATAGGAATTCCAAGTTATTTTAGTCTTTCATACATTTCTTTCAATCTTGAATTATTGCTAATGTGTTCCTGTATGCTAAACATTTAAAATAGATAAGTGTTTTTTTTAATTGAATTGGCATTTCATGAAAACTAGCATTCTCTGATTATTTACAATCTGCCTGCCCAGTAAAACCTAGTTCGGTTTAGTACGTCAAGCTGAAGTTGTGTTCCAGCCTCAAGGCAAGAAAATCTAGCCAGTGTCCCTTCAGTTCTTATTCATTGTTAAGTAGGTTTTTAACTTGCCTAGAAGTTTTGCATGCAATTTGCTAACATTTCTTGCTGCTCATAATTAAGTCCACACACACACGTACAGAAAGTCTATATAAGCATATAGAACTGAAAAATCACTGTATTTACTTGCATACTACATGTGCTGTTTTTCCAAAAATCCAAAATTCTCCAAAATTGAGGTGTCTCTCTTAAGCAGAGAAGCTCATTTTCTTTACTGGAATAAAAGCATGGAGATGGGTGCTGCTTCTCTCTTGGTCAACGAGAACGCACAGTCCAGTTTTAATCCTTTCACAGCTGCTACGAAATTGGGAGTACCACTTAGCTGAGCGGCCAAAAGCTGCTGTCAGTTTGGCAGCAGTTGTAAAAGGGGATAACATTTTAATTTTTGTCTGAAACAGCCAGTGAGCTGCTGCACATGGTTAGCTGTGATTCTGGGGGTTTTTTTTCTTGCATACTGCCTTCCAAAAACAAGGTATGCGTCATATTTGGGAGGGCGTGATGTACAAGAACATACGGTATATTGGCATAACAAAATGACTCCGTCATAGTGTTTTTAAGACCTCAGCAAAAATTGGAATAATTCCTTTTGACTGTTCACTGGTTGGACTTGGGTCCTAAGTGGATAAGATCTGTGAAGACGATAGCCTTTCTAATCATGCTGCACTGTACACCCACAGCCGTCTTCCTAAAAAGACTGAAGGGGCTTTAATAATTTGTAGCTTAAAGATGATGGCAGCGGCGATAATGGCATTTACAAGGACTATGAGATTTTGATTAAGGTGGGAGTTAAAATGAATTCCATGGGAATACAGTCTCAAGAGCTTCTCCCTGCTGACTGCTTGGACTGGAAGCTGCTTTGGATTTACCGTATAAATAATTCTGTGTGTCAGGAGACTTGCGTGCGCCAAAAAGAACAATTGAAGAGAAACTCAAGTACATAGGATATCTTTTTCTTTTTGCTGTTAATTCCTTTTAAAATCTAGTTTAAATTCTACTTTTGATGCTGCGGCTGCTTGTAGTCCACTCAGGTAATGAAAATATAGTTTTACTATGGGTCTTTCACATTAGTGTAATGCTGTAATGTTTGGATTGCCAACAGTATGAAGGGATATGTCATACAAGTAGTTCTCTTGTATTTTAAATCGATTTAAAAAAATCCAGCAGAGGTTGACTCAGAGATTGACTCAGGTTATGTGAAAACCCATGGAGAAAGGGCTGCAGTCAGATATAATTGTCTTAATAAGGGGTACCAGCAGTAATAAAGGTGTTTGATCTTGAGATAAAGAAGGGAAGCACAGATGACTTGTTACTAATTACACCTGGTTAGCAGTCTGCGAATGGTGTGTGTTTCAAAACATGCTTAATGTCTCCGACTAAAGAAAAGCTCCCATTTTGGTCACATAGTAGATTTGGCTCCAATTTTAAAAGAGAACTGAGTGTTGTATTACAGTCTCTCTTGCTTCAAGTGTGTCTGTTATAAATTCACCTTTTGATTTCAGAGTACATGAGCAAGCAGCATTATAAGTCTAGTCCGTGTAACTCATAAGTCAAAACATGGTGCAAAGTCTTGGACAGGCTGCCAACCAGATCCAAGCTCTTGAGAGCCATTCAAGTACCCACTCAAGACTTCACTGATGCACTAGTACATTCTCCACCCTTTGTATTCCTGGAGCACTTCAGATTACCAAGGTTGTTGCATCTCTTGCCAAATTCTCACTTCAGATCTCACACGTTATATTGTTATCAAGTAGCCCAGAAGGGACTGCATTCCCTCTTTGATGCTTTTGACAACTTTTAAATCACTATCCCATAATACAGAGTGCCGGCATTAGCCTCTTTTAGAATCTCAATAATACACCTTTGGTACCAAATTATTTCTTCTCATGAAACTTCTGGTAATTACTGTATGTTTTGGTGCTCCAGATTTGGAGGGATTAATCACAAGAGATCATGGCTTTTTCCAGTCTTGGGAGTGTAGCACAATATTTTACAGACTACGTAATCAAGAGGTTAGATGCATGCAAAATCGTCCCTTTTTCTAGAATATTAGAGAGCAAGAAGACACTAAATATATTACAGTCATTCTTTACGAGCAGTAAGCGGTGTTGTCAGAACTAATGCACTTTGTCTTCCATCCCATTGTCAGTCATTTCCTTACATAAAAGGATTTTGACAACTCATGATAGTTGTTTAAGTGCGTCACTGGCAAAACGGGTCCTTCTTGCCTTTCATCCATGGAGTTGCAAGCATCTTTGTAACAAGCACTGGACTTTTACATCTGTTCAGAAAGTTGAGCTGTAAAAGGGAGGGAACTTCAGAGGGTAAACCTTGGCAGAATCCATTAAAAGTATACTTCAAATCATCTGAATGGCCTCCAGAAAGTCAATATGTTAGAAGGCAGAAATGGGAGCAATTCAGTGCGTCAGGAAAAAGGAGAATCGGATGCCTTGTTATGTCCATTAGCCTCAGGTTTTGACCATTTACTTTACTTTAGAGCTCTTTCACTTACCTAAATAATAAATATATCTGTTTCCTTTGCACGTGCCAAAGACGCTCTTTCATTTTGGAGAGTTTGGAAGAAATGCTGCACAGTAGATTTGAGGATCTGAATCGGTGTACTATAATCTTGAGTTATTTTCATCTTTAGGATTGTACACGTCTTTTTGACTTCAGAGCCAATCTTATGCGCTCCCTTATTTTCCCTTTGATATTTTTAGACTCTTTTGGAAAGGTGTTACTCAGCACAACATGTACCTTACGTTCTCTTCCCAACATCCTTACTCTGGTCATAAAACTTTCACAGCTTCTTAGCCCTAAAGTTAATTTTTTACATCAAATGGAAACTTTGGCTGTCTTTGGCTGTCTGGAAGTGTAGGTGATGGGCCCATTCCCTTTATGGGGTTGCAAGCATGATATGGTCAAGTCCTGTTCTTTGAGTTGTTTTTAGAGGAAGCTGCATACCCTTGTTTAGGGAACATGTTGGGTGGGGGAAGGAAAAGAAGGCTACTGCCAAACAGAGCGATTGTAAGTAAGATCCTTTGTGTAGGACAAACATGAATTATCCTACAGTGTGTGGCAACCTGGCTTGATTTTTTTTTTTTTTTCCTAGTACATCAATTTGGGTGAACTATTTTCATGCAGTTTTGAATTTCTTAGAGGAATTAACACTTAACTTATCATCTTCCCTAAGTTTTCCATCGTGTGAGCTATTATCTTAAAGAATGTGGAGCTTTTTCTTTAAGTCTTTCTTCATGCAATCTGTCCTAAAATGAATATTGATTTTTATGGGCTCTAATTTTTGTAAGCCAATGCATTTCTGCTTGGTTGTGAAGAAAAATCTTTTGTTAACTAGAAAATAAAGCCAAAGTGCCATCTCTGCTGACTCGTTGCCTGTACTTGTTGCTGATTTGTTTTGACTGCAGTAGACATCTTCAAGCACATCTAACAAATCTGCGTTCAGTGCAGTAGCCACTTTGATGAGCGTAGGTGAGGTTGAGTAGGATTTTCAAAACTACTCACCATTGGTCATTGACTGCAGTGAGATCAAAGTTGGGCGAAAATGGAGTGCTTCTGAAAATAAACGTGTCTAAGACAATTTATTGTCTACATGCCACACCTCTGAAATCAGTTGGGTTTAACAGAAATGCGTTTTTTGTATTTTAGCAATTGCAAGAATGTAGTGAAGAGGAAGAGGACAGGGAATGCTTAAAACAAGCCATTACAGCTCTCCTGAATCTCCAGTGCAGCATGGAGCGGATTTACAACAAACATTCACCTCGGCGTCGGCCTGGGTAAGCATACCTTTAAATAAGAAGCCTTCTGAATCTCAGTGTAGGGTATAAGACTTTACTTTGAAGTCGCTTCTTGCTAAGCATTTGGTGCTTAATCCTGGTGAGGACCTAGGTTGAGAAATAATGCTGTAAGATTTTAACTTTAGTTGTAGGAGTTGTTTTCTAGTCTCTGATAACAAAATTGAAAGCAGCTAATCCAATCATTCTTGTTTTTAAAGAGAGACAATGTGTCGTTTCTACAACCGCCAAGTAAGAAGCAAGCACCTTGCCATCAAAAAAATGAATGAGATTCAGAAAAATATTGATGGTTGGGAAGGCAAAGATATTGGCCAGTGTTGCAATGAGTTCATCATGGAAGGTGCACTGACAAGAATAGGAGCCAAACATGAGCGCCACATATTTCTCTTTGACGGCTTAATGATCAGCTGCAAAAATAATCATGGACAATCCCGGCTTCCGGGTTACAGCAATGCAGAGTACAGACTTAAGGAGAAAATTATCATGAGGAAAATACAGATCGTGGATAAAGATGACACTTCTGAATATAAACATGCATTTGAGCTAGTGTCTAAAGATGAAAACAGCATTATATTTACTGCCAAATCTGCTGAGGAGAAAAATAATTGGATGGCAGCTCTGATTTCCCTTCAGTATCGCAGCACCCTTGATCGAATGCTTGACTCTGTGTTAGTGAAAGAAGAAAATGAGCAGCCGCTTCGGCTACCCAGCCTAAGTGTGTATCGTTTCATAGTGGCAGACTCTGAAGACAACATTGTTTTTGAGGACAACCTGCAAAGCAGAAATGGAATCCCCATCATCAAAGGAGGAACAGTAGTGAAACTCATTGAAAGACTCACCTACCACATGTATGCAGGTATTGCAGTATGACCTTTCTTATATCCTATTAAGTACTCTTTATAATGGACAAGTTCAGTCCTTTCCTCTTCTGCTCATTTTTCTGCTAGTCAAGACCTCTGAATGGATTCAGACGAAAAAGCACTGGTTAAAGTGCTTAGGTAATTTTAGTAAAGCTGTCTGTCATGTGAACTGCTGAGTGTCCTTCAGTTCAGAGGGCTACAAATAAGACTGGTGTCCTCATGTTTTGGAACAGGGACTTGACATTTCAGCAGCAAAACCCTCTTGGCTTCAAGAATGTGCCGTCTGCCACCTCATTCAGAGGCACCCTAATTTCTCAAATTATGAGCCTCAGGAAGAACCACCATTTGCACTTCCTCTGTAGAGACATAGCTGAATTGAGCAGGTTCTGCCAAGGTTGCTGCATCGGGGGGAAACGGGAACGTGTCAGGATTAAGACTGGCTTTAGGTAAAACCTTAATTAGAACCCGTGTGCTTATTTCAGTGGTCCTCAACCCTTTCAGAGTCAGGACACTCCCCAAAACACTTATAAATGTGACAGCATCTCCGGTTGAGAACCACAGTTGTGCTGCCTCAGTTTCTTTCCATGGTTCTCAGCCAGGGTGCTTCATGCTTTTCCCTGTATTAGGATTATCTGATGAACCTAAAACAGATGGGAGCAGAGGCACAAATAACGAGTTTTGTGCTCTGGGCAAAACTTCCCTGTGTGGTGGTGGCAGGGGGAGGTTGTGGGGGAGAGGGGGGAAGAAAGCTGCTCTTACCTGTGCAGAGTGCCCTGCACTTGGCTTCTTTGGCCAGGCGAATTACTTCAACCCAGCCTGGATCCTCCAGCCAGGAATTGCAAAGGGCTGCAGTTGAAGTGCATGCTCTTGCCATAGCACTTCCTGATCTGACTGCACGTGCTTGTCCCAAGAATAGAGGGTGCAGAACAGTCCCACCTGCTTGGCACACCTCTGTTTCTGTCTAGAGCACGTGGGCTCAGACCAGGAAGGTGTCTGAGAAGAGTGTAGGCTCCAGACACAGCTGCGGGGAAGATCCACCTAGCTGTGGCAGCACCTGCACTCGGTGTGCCTGAAAAGCTCTTCCAGCACCCTGGTTGAAAACCAACCACATGTGTTGGTCCTGTGATTATTCCAGAGGCCATTGTCTTTCTAGTGTGACTGGCCTAGTTGCAGCCAGGAAAGTTTAGGTTGGATATTAGCGAAAACTTTGTCACTAGGAGGGTGGTGAAGCACTGGAATGGGTTACCTAGAGAGGTGGTGGTATCTCCATTCTTGGGGGGCTTTTTTTATACTCAACAAAGCCCTGGATGGGCTGATCTAGTTAGGACTGGTCCTGCTTAGAGCAGGGGTTTGGACTAAATGTCACCTCCTGAGGTCCCTTCCAACCCTCTTTTCTGTGATTCTGCGATTCTGCTTTGGCAGTGAATCCAGGTGGTTTATCATCTTTAGGATGCCTTCAGTTGGAGGGAATTTTCAGGAACAGAAAGGAAGTCATTGATTAATACTGTACAGGAGAATTTCAAAAGCTAAGGAAGATGATCATGTCCAGTGCTACAGAGGAAGGAAAATGCCATTATCCATTCCTTTGCCTTAGGGGAAAATATCCCTTCCTGTCTCCAGATTTGGAGATTGGTGTGAGCCAGAGCAGAAGAGTGAGCCCCTCTAGCAGGGAAATTTTGGGTCTTCCAAGTACCAGCAGGACCATGTCAATTGAATGCTGCCCTAGAGAACTGGATTCTCTCTTTATTCCTCTGACTTCCTATGTAATACTGAGAAAATCACTTAAATCAGACATTCACAGATGTCCGCTAGCTGTTTGTTCCTCACTTTCTGCAGAGTCATTTTATCACACTTATGTGTTGAGTTGCAGATATGCTGTGAATTTAACACCTACAAATGAAGTCTATGAAAATCATGCCTTGAACACAGTGCTATGAAAATCTACTCTGAATGTATTTTAAAAAGTTGGATCATGGGCAGCACAAATTAGGCATCCCATATTAGCTTCTGCTTTTGACATTAATGCATCTCCATTCACCATCTTTAAAATGCTACCTCATCTCACTGAGCTATTAGGAAGAAAGTCCATTACAGTAAACTGTTCAAGTGCTGCAGTGATAATTTCCTCATGGGCTTTTTCCATGTGTTTCATTTTTCTTCAAAGCAGGTTCAAATGGTGTGTAGCAAACAGCACAATAATTGGATGAGGAAAAACAGAATATTAAAAAGTTGCTTATTCAGTGAGCACCATCCAGCATTGGCAAGGAGGCAAGGGGTCCTGTCGAAAATTAGTACGTGACATTAGCTGTGTCATAAACAGGGATCTGGGTATTCCATTTCCCACAGAGAAAAATGCAGATTTCCCCTTTTACCTGAGGAAAAACACAGATTTTTCATTTTAATGGAGAAACACGTGGATTTTTCAGTTTTGCAAGCAGCTCTCTGCAGGCTGGCAGAGCTCCAGCCTGCAAGGGGCGGGGGAGTGGAAGGAAGGCAGTCAGGCAGGGGTGCCATGCACATGCACACGTTCACATGTGCACATGGCTGCCGGGTAGCCTGGAGAGCAGCTCCTGCAGAGAAGTCTGTGGGGGTTGCAGATTGAGGGACCCCATGGGGAGGGAGGGAGTTGGGCTGGGGCTGCTGCCCGGCCAGGCGGTGCATGGGGCCTGGGGCTGAAATGTGCAGCCACCAGGCCCCAGGGGGAGAAGGACGGGGCCGCGGGCAGCTCATCTGGAGAGCAGGGAGTGTGGGCCGGTTCCCCGCTGCTGCATGTGCTCCTGGGGATGGCAGGGGGGACCCACCCCCTCCCCAGATTTGTGCATGGGGCAGGAGCAGGTGCAGGCTGCCCACTGTGGGCTCAGGCTTCCTATCCTGCTGCCCTCCCCCAGGGCCTCTGCAGCCCAGTGGGTGAGACCCAGCACGGCAGACCAGATCGGGTCCACGTGGGAAAGCTCCTTGCCACTGTGAGCTCCACACTGCCCCAGCAAGGCGTCTCCTGCCCACCTGGCAGCAGTGGGGGTGGCAGCATGGGGTTGTGCCCCCTTGCTGCTGCAGGGCAGGCAGGGAGCGCGTCACCAGGGTGGCAGCACAGAGCTCACAGTTGCAAGAGCTTCCCTGCCCAGCTCCGCTCTGCCCTGCCACCCTGGGTCATATCCACTGAGCTGCGGAGGCCCCAATGGAGGACAGGGAGCCTAAGCCCGCATCCACCCCCCACCCCTGCACACGGATCTGGGGGGCATCAGTCCACCTTGCCCCCCCCCACCCCAGGGAATGCATGCAGCATCGGGGAACTGGCCCCACTCCCTGCCTGAGCCCGCAGCAGGCAGCCTGCACCCGCCCCTGCCCCACGTGCTCTGCTCCAGCCGTGCCGCTCATAGGGGAGGGGAAAGCAGGCTCCGTGCTCCACTACGCCACAGCAGCTGGGGTTCAGATGCTGCTGTGGGGGGGAAGGAGGATGCGAACCTGGGTCCCTGGCCCTGTAGCCCTGGCAGCTAGAAGTCCCCTCTGGTAGACCTGTGGGTGGGGGCAAGGGGCACCAACAGAGGTGATAAGTGAGGGGCACCAGAAGGACTTGGGGGAGGCTGTTGGAGGGGGGGAGTGAGGGACATGCATCTGCATTCTGTGAGCCAAGGGGGAAGGGAGAGCTCTGATTTTTCATGATAAAAAACCCCAAAATCAAACACCTAAATTTATACATTTTTAGAATTTACTTTATTATATTGATGAGGCACTGGTAGCCTTCTGAATTGCTTTAAAATGGTAAATATATCAATAAAACATTGTGTTCATTTGATACCTATATACAGTATGTAGTGATGTGTCATTTTAATCACGGATTTTGGGGGTTTTATCAGAGAATATGCAAATTTTTTTTATTTTTATTTTTTTTTACCAGGGAAAACCAGCTGATAAACAGTAGAACAGATTCCACAACTTTTTCAGGGCAATCTCCATCATTAGAAGACTTTAAGTGTAGGTTGGACAAACACTTGGTTGGGGTGGTTTAGATGAGGATGGTTGATCCTGCTATGAACAGGGGGCATTGAACTAGATTAGTGGTGCTCAGATCCTGACCCACAGAGCAGTGTCATCCTGTCCACAGGGCTCACCACCAGTCTGCAAATTTGGTGGCGGGGGAGTGGCAGCAGCATTTAATTGCTGCTTTCCTGCTGCCATTTTTTCGTTCCCTGTGGGCAGTCCTGTGGGCCAAATAACGTGGCCCTGCATGCAGTCAGATTGCATGTGGGGTCAGGCTGGTGTATGGCCATATCCAGGCACAGGATGGCTTTCTGAGTTCCCTTCCAAGCCCTATTCTAGAAATTGCACGAAAGGGCTGAATTCAGATATCGTAAGTCAGGAGTGACCAACCTATGGCACAAGTGGGACAGACAGCCTTTTATGTGCAGTACCCAACAGATCAGAGAGGGAACAGGCAGCACAGCAGCTGGTAAAGAAGGAAGCAGAAAGCAGAGCAGGAGTTTAGGCAGAGGAAGGGAATTAGGGTGGGTCTCGGGGAGGACATGGGGCTTAATTGCGGCACACCTGTCAAACAGGTTGACCCTCACAAGTGACCTTAATTTTGAAACTTCCTAAATTTGAATGCTTGACTTCACAACCTCTTGCCACTAGCATGCCATATCTTTTAATACATTTTTCAATGGCACTTATGGTATTAAAAAAAAAAGGCATTTGATGCAACTGCATCTGAATCATGCTATACAATTGTTAAAGTAATTCTGATTTATTGCCATTAAACACTCCTTCTACTTGTTTTTAAATCTGTCTTATTCCAGCATAATTTTACAGTCGAGATTTGTGTGCATTACAGTTTGATTTTTAATAAAAGCTAAAATCATTCAATAACATTCTTTTATTTTCTTGCTTTGCTTTTACAGATCCGAATTTTGTACGCACTTTCCTTACCACATACCGCTCCTTTTGTAAGCCCCAAGAACTGTTAAATTTGTTGATCGAAAGGTAAGCAGAAAACTTTGTTCTGGGGTGTTCATTTTAGTCCACCTGCTGTTTTTCACCTGATGTTTTGGAAACAATATAATGGCATGTTTTGGTCTGGCCAGTGTACCAGATATTCATAGTTTTTCAAGTTTCCCTATATTTGTAAAACACAACTGGTTTGGTTTGGTTTGGTTTTTCTTTTCTTTTTTGTGTTTTTCTTAAACAATGAAAGTTTAACACTGCTCCTTTTCTCCAGATTGTTATATTAACCAATTCCAAATTTCAGGCTATAGCTGTACTAATAAAGTACACTTAATTAAGGCTGATATTTTTCTTTCGTAAGACAAAAATGGGGTCTGTATCTTGTTCTTTGCGCACTTTGGTGTTTTTGTAAATTTGGGAGCTCTTGGCCATCAGCAACATTACCAGGATCACTACGTGGAAGTGGCTGTCGTGTAATAGCAGGGCATACTCCACAACATAGCCCAGCTCATCGCCCCATGAGTATCCCCGTTTGGGTACACGTGCACTCCTTCATCCACTACCAAAGGATGTCTTGGGGCCTTGAGCATGTGTGTGGGTGCATGCTAGGCATGAGTCCTTAATTTGAAAGACTTTAGTCTGACCATAGTTTCAGATCCTGGCAGGGCTGGCTGAGCTTCAGCTTCACAAAAAGTAACATGAGGATCATACTGTGTGTGTGTGTTTTGGAGAACTCAGAGGGGGTGGATATATTTTCTTCATGAATATTAAAGGACTCTGGTATTTTTATAAAAAGGAGCTGACAACATGGGTAAAGAGAGGTGGTGGAATCTCCATCCTTTAAGGTTTTTAATGCCCTGCTCAACAGTGACCTACTTGGGGCTGGTCCTGCTTGGAGCGGCAGGTTGGACTACATGTGACCTCCTGAGGTCCCTTCCAGCCCTCATTTTCTGTGATTCTGTAAAACGATTCTTCCATTTTCATATTATGCCACTTGTCATGCAGCTGTTGCCTACCTCTTCCAGTGTTGCAAAGTAGTTTGATGTGTAACTTTGTGAATCCCACTGGTGCCCTTGAACTGGAAGTCACTATATTCATGACAGTGACAGTATCACATCATAATAGCTTTACTAGTGATAACAAGCACAGGGTTATAGCACTTCCATTATGGACCACTTGTTACAGCTACAGTACAAAGAAGGAGCTTTTGATCTGAAACATCATTGTTTGTTATAAGCTTGAAAATGTTGGAGGTGGGGTTTTAATTTGATTTGATTGGCTTTTTTTAAATGTATTTGACTGGTGGGGATGGAGAAAAAACAAATATGACAGAACAAGAGATGTCCTTATCACTCCCTGACCATTTTGCCTATGTCTTATCCCACTGTCTCCTTACCTTTATAGTTTTATAGTTGGTAGGGTCAGAAGGGAACTGAGCAGATCATCAAGTCTGACCCACTGCTATGGGCAGGAAAGAATGCTGGGGTCAAATGACCCCGGGTAGGTGTCTGTCTAGCCTCCTTTTAAAGACCCCAGGTTGGAACGAGCATCACTTCCCTTGGAAGTTGGTTCCAGATCCTAGCCGCCCTGACTGTAAGGTAGTGCCTCCTGATATCTAGCCTGATATCTTGCTGTCCTTCTAGTGGTAAGCTTTTGGGGTCGTGGATCATGTCACCCAGTGCACATGTAGTGGTGCTCCAGTCTGAAGTCCCTTGCACTCTACTAAACAGTAATAGCAAAAGTGCCTGGTTTTTAATTATGTAGCTCTGTACACAAACACAAGGATTTTCTAGCTCTAAAAGATATGGTCCTTGTCACCAGCAGCTTGCAACCTAACAGTGCAAGACTCAAAACTTCTTGAGTAATAAACATTTGTAGTGAAATCAGTAGTGTAATTACTCATGGATTTAAGGAAGAACTTGGAGGGATGCTGGTGGGAAAGAGATGCTTATTTAAAGTGAAGGGGTCAGGAGGTAAGACATGAAGAAAGGGGAAGAGAATAAGAAAAAGTGAGGTAAGGTTTAGATGTGGGTAGGGTTTTATAGGACTCTGAAGATGATCGAGCTCACAGATGGATCATAGTTAAGAATCAGAGGAGGGGGCAAAAATAAAGTTGAAAAAGAGCAGTAATGCAGTCCTTAACTTTGTATTACATAACCAAAGGTGTGGACTTCCAGATAGCCGGGTAGTGAATCAGATGGGATTAAGGCTATATGTACTTGCCTATGATCGCTGTGTGTGCTGCCTGCTGCTGCCCTGGTGTTTGCCTGCCCCTATTGTCACAGTCCAACTACAGCCAGTGACAGCAGATTCAAAGCTGTGAGGTGCTGAGTTAGAGTGTAAAAGCTGCTATTGTAGGCAGCTGCTGCAGGACATGGCTTTTTCTGTTCTGATTCGATCACAGTACGAGTGCTGCGTTTCCCAATAACGTACAGCAGTTCTCTCTCTTGGACCAGTGCATGCCACAGTTCCCATGTTGTCATGACTCATTTGTGAGTAGCACCTCTCCTGAACCAGTCAGGGCCAAATGTCACTGGGGTAGATGCACTAAAAGATGAGGCTGGAATTAAGTTAATACAGATGGTTTCTTCATTTATTCAGGATCTTTCAATATTAACTGTTTGTGGTTGATTTTCCTTTTAAATGGCTTGTGGTAGAAAGGTGGTGTTGGGTTATTTGATCCCAGCAGTCTTTCCTGTCCAGAGCAGGGGGCTGGACTTGAGGATCTCATGAGTCCCTTCCAGCTCTAAATTTCTGTGAATCTGAACATTTCAGCTACAACTATGTACAAACACTTCTAAGAATAGGTCCTCTTGCCTTAATTCATTAATCATTCCATGTGTTAATTCATTAATCATTGCCATTGAATTTATTTAAAGGTTTGAAATCCCAGAGCCTGAGCCTACTGAAGCAGACAAACTGGCTATAGAGAAAGGAGAGCAGCCCATCAGTGCAGACCTGAAAAGATTTCGAAAGGAATATGTCCAGCCAGTACAACTCAGGTTTGGATGTTTTCGTATTTACTTTGGACAGACTTTAACTTAAGTGTTATTCTGAGGTTGAGGAAATCAGATTCCCTTGAGACTGGTGTCAAATGAATGGTCCCAAACTATGTTCTCATTAGTCATTTGGGATTTTGTGAACAAGGCATGGCAGGCGAGTAATCAAGGGAGGGCTACCTTACAGATTTTGCTGGGCAGGAGCCATATGCCTGCCCGGGGTGGGGACAGCTGCCTCTGGGGGCTCCATCCTGTTACACCAGTAACCCTATTTCCTCACACTGTTCCCTTCTCATGTTCTCACTGTTCAGCAGTCTGTAGAGAAGGTGAATGTGAGACTTATTGGAACAGGGAAACTAACAGAGAACTAATGGGGGTTGTGACTGAACGTAGGATTGGAAGAAACCTCCCAGATCATCACGTCTGGACCACTTCCGTTGCAGGCATCTCAGCATATCAACCCTTCATAAACTGATCAAGCTCTGTCTTAAAACTAGTTAGTTTCATCCCCGCTTTACTCCTCGACTTGGAGGCTGTCTCAGAACCTCGCTGCTCTTGACTGTCTTCTGATTTCCAATATAAATGTAATCATGGGCAGTTGATATCAGTTTGTTCTTGTTCCAGCCTTGTCCTTTTGCTTGCATAGCTCATTTCCCTCCCTGATGTTTACACCCCATTGAGAGAATAATCATATTCTTGCTCGGCATTCATTTGGCCAAGCTGAGGAAGCCAAGTTCTCTTAGCCACCTCTTGTAAAATAGGCTTTCCATTTCTCTGGAGCTCTGTGATCATCCTCGGAGCTTTTTGCTGCCTGGAAATGTGCGTGGTGTTCTTGATGAAGCCTTATTAAGACCTTATACAACGCTATTAACCCTACTTGCCTCTTGCCACAGTACCTTGCCTTGGATTACATTCCCCTTTTTTCACAGCATATGTAGCATGACCGAGTTATACTGTGTCTGTCCTGTATCCTAGAGCAGTGGTTTTCAACCTGTGGGGTCCATGAAAGATGACTCTGATCAATCAAAAGTATGTGAATACGCTCACTTGCCATTCAAAGGGGTCTGTGCCTCCATTTGAAATTTGTTAGGGGTCTGCAAATGAAAAAGTTGAAAGCCATTGACCTAGATGTTCTTTCTCTCTCTCTCTTTCTCTCTCTCTCTCTCTCTCTCCCCCTTTTTTTTATTTTTTTGAGACCTCTTCTCAGCCCTCCATGCGTCTCACCCCCAGGTTGCACTACTAGTGCCATCACTCAGGGCTCCTGCTATCGTGCAGGGAGCCTGTTCTGACACGCTGGAGCACAGAAATTGCCACACTCTGTCAGCCTTCCATGTCACGTGTATCGGTGCCCCCACGCTAAAAAAATGGCAGCAGGGCACTTTGAACTAAAACATGTTTGGTGAGCTTTAGTTCAGAGCACCCCATGCCACTTTTCAGTGCGGGGATGCTGATGCAGAACTCAGGGGTGCTTTTAATTAGCACAGCTTACTAATTAAAGCACCCAGTGCTGCATCCCAGAGCACATATAAAAATACCCTTAAAGACTATTTAGTAGTCTCAGCTAGTGCAAAATGTTCAGTTTTCTTTTCTGGACTGACTTGGAACAGATTATATCTGTGTCACGTGAAGTGCTGCCTGCTTTGGATTCAGTTCAAGGTATTCTAATGCATCTAAATGCAGTGCGAGAGAATAGCTCAGATTATTTTGCTTGAAGGAGAGAAATAAATTGCATTATTCTGTTCCATCTCAAAAGTCAACATCATGTGATCAACTATTCAATCAATCATTTTAATATTTACTATTTAAGAAAATATAGAGAAAAAGCAAGTGAAAAATTGTGGGTTTTTTGGGGGTGGTGGGGGAGAATTAGATCTTATCCCACTTTTGTTACCATTTTTGTAAATAAAATGATGCAGTAACAATATGGTTAGAAAATTTTATAACAGCATAACTTGATAACCAGCTTTTGAAAGAAAAGTCCAAATTAAAATAACATTTTTTTTTTACTTAAACTGCTTATAAGAACATTGTCTTGATTTTTTTCCCCCTTTATAGTTTTCTTTTTTCATTTCTCTGTAGCACTCGAGCATTCATGGTTTGGGGGGTTTTAAATCCTGAAAATTACAGTGTTAACACTGAGACCAGTCAAAGACAAGGCTACCTCCAAAGTCTTAGCCACACCCCATTGTGCATATGCATTACGATTAGTCTTTTATTACATAATCGCATGCAGCTTTTGCAGGACCCAGGGTTCATTCAGCTTGCAAGTTGGATGTAGTTGAGGTTCAAAAACACAAAAAGTGATTTTCTCCCCTTCCCCCCTTACTCCTTTCCCTCCACTCTGTTTTTCAGGATATTAAATGTTTTTCGACACTGGGTAGAACATCATTTTTATGACTTTGAACGAGATCTGGAGTTACTTGACAGACTGGAGACATTTATTTCAAGTGTAAGAGGTATAGTATCATTATAATTTGCTTGCTTGCATGTTTGCTTGTTTTACTTTCTTTTATATTCTGGGTGCTTAATCCTGCCGGGTTTTTTTATTTGTAACAGCTCACATGAGCACATCAGTCTTGCAGCATAAATGTTAGCACAGTTGAGCCTGAGGCTTGACTTGTTATCAGCAAATAACTTTTAACAGTATTGCATTATGTTATCAAAGTTTTATCTAGCTTTTAAATATTTAATGTCAACATTTTCTGGAGCCCATATGACTCTTCTAGAATTCAGAACCTCTTCCTCTTTCACACTGAATTCCTGGAGAATTAACTTCTTCAGAATTGTATATTGATATTAATTAACAAAAATGGCAGTTGAAGCTACATTGCTGATGCTAGAGACCGTATTTAGATTACCAAAGTAGGCATCCAACAGTACATTTCTGGGTCACTAATTTATAAATGAGCAATTCATCCCCAGCTGGTTGACAGTCACAGCATGAGATGTTGCTGATAAAGACTTCGTTTTATCCAGCCCCTTGAAAGAGGTTTAACTTGGACTCCCTAGAATACCCAGTCACTTCATGTACTGTGCCTTTATCAAGCAAGGGGAGATCATTCAAAGATAAATGTTATGGACTTCTGTTCCTCAGATCTTTTCAATCAAATGTGAATTTTCACAATCCAGTGTAAAGTTGTCACTTGAACTGCAAACAGTAAACTCTAATAAGGTGTGACTTAGTGAAGGACCCAGCAAAAGCCAATGCTGGACTTGGGGAAGAGTGTAAAACAGGACCCAGGACTTGCCAGGGAGACCGCCCCCCCACAATCATCCAGCATCCCCTCCCCAGCCATCTAATCCAGGCAAGTGGGGAACCAGTGGAGAAGAACCAGCTGAAAACTCCAGCTGTTAGGAAGAGAAGCTGCCAAAGCTAGGAGAACCACCGTTTGGAGAACATGGCTGGAACATCTCTGCCCTGAACTGAGCAGTTGTTTTGCTCTGACCTTTTCCATCCCTAAAGTTAAGGAAAGATGGATTAAAGTCACCTTGTGTGGTATCAACATCTGTAGAAGAGAATGCAGCTAAAAAAATAAGGAACCAAGAGATCTAGGTGATTCAGCTATGTAAAAAGTCAACCAGACTCCAAGTAGCTGCATAACACTTCAGAGGATTTCCAACAGTTTTTTGATTGGACTCTGCCCATCCGCCTCCTGTTTCTGTCCAACCACTTTCCTTCCACTTTGCTCAGCCTCTTTACTTCAGCTTCATTCCAGACCTGGCCCTTGACTCCCTTCTTCTCACCCCTCTTCCCTTCACTTCCCCCTACCTCCCCCCATTTAGTTGATCCTCTCCAGGTTAGCCTGAAGCCTGGCAAAAGTTAGGGAAGGGAGCTGTTTAGTCTCTACGGTTCCACCCTGCCCTATTTTCTGCCTGTGTTGATTGTAAATTTGTCAGGGCAGGGGTGGACTATTATTCTGGGGGGTATTTGGAGAGCCCAAAGATGTCACACTCTTGGTTGCCCCTAAGGCTCTGCTATAATAAGCATGAAAAATTCACCCCCAGAATGAGCACCATGCCTACGTTTGCAGGCACAAATGCAGATAATTGTGGGAGCTATGGGGCATGTTTTCAAACAAGCCTAAAACATGATTTATAACAGGTTTAGGTAAGTTTTAGTCCTATCCAAAAGTAGTGATTGCCAACCTCATTTCATAGCAGTAGCAGAAGGATACATCAGCCTGAAACCCCTTTTGGGAATCTGTCACGGCATAAGTGTGAATCTTGTTTGATGGTTGGTATTTTGCAGGCAAATCCATGAAGAAGTGGGTGGAATCCATTGCTAAAATTATAAAGAGAAAAAAAATTGCTCAAGCAGATGGAATTAGTCATAATATTACCTTTGAGAGCCCACTGCCACCAATTGAATGGCATATTTGCCATGTTGGACAGCCTGAGATGTTTGACCTCATGACACTTCACCCCATAGAAATAGCTCGGCAGCTGACACTTCTAGAATTTGATCTCTACAGGTGAGTGTTCAAATAATGAATGTTCCCTAACTAACTTTGTGTTGGTCCCATATAGCTCACTATTTGAAGGGCTTGAAGATGCAAATTTCCTTTTCTTTACTAGAGAGAGCTACCAGAATATGGTGATCTAAAGTACTTTACTTGTATATGGGAGCGGGGGAGTGGATACTTTGTTTAGTCGCACTTCAAAAGTTTAACTGGCCATGATAATTCAATCTGGAAATTGTATTTACTAAATGGCAGTCATTTTATTATAGCTACCCCACAGCTTTCCCTTCCTTTGGAAGGGAAACATTTAAACAGGGATGTCAGTATTGCTTGGGCCCCTGGACTCGTTCCAGGCTGCAGGGCTCTTCACAGGCCAGATTTAAACTCGCCTCCAGTGGTGGGGTGAGTGGTGATGATGTTAACCCCTACATGGGCCCGAGCTGCTGGGTCAGCTCAGGCACCTTCAGAGCTTAACAACACCATCATTAGCCCTTCCACTGCTGAAACGTGTCCCCATGGGGCTCTGTACTCAGGATTTCAGCAGTGTGAACCCCCATGGCATCCTGAGCTATCATGTCAGTTCAGAGCCATGGGAGCTAATGCTGCTGTTGCTAACCCAGCCACTGAATCCCTGGCCCTTCCAGGAGCTCCACAAGTCAGAAGACATAGCTCTGGGAGCCCAGTCCAGCCTGTGGGCCACGTTTGACACGTGCATTAAGGTAATCACCTTGCTGTTCAGTTCAAAGAATCTGCTATGAACTGAGTCTGCTCTCCTTTGCTTTTCTGATTTGCAGTGTCACAGTTGGCTTGCTCTGCACGCTGGAATAGAGTATGTAGGGCGAAAAACAAAATCAGATTTACTAAGATGCATATTAAATTTCTGCCAGGACAAAATATGGATAATAAATTAAGACACTAAAATGTGCGTGTAGTTGATATTAGCTCCCGAATGGGCCAACCTTGTAGTATTTAAAGCTTAAACCAGTGTGGGAGGGGTGTTTTATAAGGCATGCTGGTTGCGTCCAAGAGGATTTTGTTCCCCAAGGACCATCATAAAAGCTAATGGTATGCATATGCACCAAAATGAAGACATGGTTGCAGCCTGCACTGACATCTGTACTGGCTGAGTTGAGTCAGCATGGATCACAACAGCAGTGAAGATGAAGCTTTAGCATGCACTAGCAGACAGAGCACAGCACTTGGGATATGGTCATTGTTGCTAGCTCATGCTACTGCCTCCATTAGTATCTGTACTGATGTGTCAGTCTCAAGGCTGCCTTGAATAACTCTCTCATGGAGGAGTCTATTGGCTTCTATTTATCAAATATCAAGTCACATTAGGGCCAGAAATAATCTCCCTACCCAAACCTGCAACACATGAATTAAGCTATTAAAACATCCCTTTGCTGCTTTTTCTTTAACAGGGCAGTGCAGCCTTCTGAACTTGTAGGGAGTGTGTGGACTAAAGACGACAAAGAAATCAACTCTCCAAATTTGTTGAAAATGATTCGTCACACTACAAATCTTACGCTCTGGTTTGAAAAGTAAGTGCAGGGGGTGTTAGCATAGCAGTCTTGAATCAAACTGAAGATTGGGTTTTCTCCTGTTGCCTTAAAATTTGAATCAGCTGTATTTCAGTAACTATGAAGGCCTGTCTCTGTGCATGTGCTGCTGTAGGTTGTATGCGTGCTCCTTGTACCTGATGCCAGACTTCTGCCACCAGTTTTCACCTGATCCCTGCACACACTTTAGCTATGCTTATGAACCACATAAAGGGTTAATAAAGGACAATACAGGATGGACCACTCCAGCAGTCCCCTCCCCCCTGCCCTTAGATGCCACTGTAGCCTGTAACTTTTACTTTAGCAACTTCCCTTTCTAGTGGTATATAGTTAACTTCTTGGGATATGTCTGCATTGCAGTCAAAGTTGTGACCTACCCCAGTAATCTCACAGCAGTGTGGAACCTGGGTTTTAGTGCAAGCCAGCAACTGAATATTTATTCAGGATCCCAGGCAGGCTTGGAAGGCCATGCTGGTCCCCACTGTTGTTGGTATCTGGTTGGGCTGACTTAAAGCTAGCTTGGCTGCATCTCCGCAGGCTGTAGTCACTCGTAAACATACCCTTGGAATTGACTGTACTGTACGAGCTTATATAAAATAGGGGTGATTTTTAAGGGGCACAAGGAGTTTCTTTTCTCTGTCTCTCACTCTTCATTTCCCATAGTTCCATTCTACCTACTCTCATGTACTGTTGAATATGTGCAGGGACAAGTACTTGAAGAAAGAAGGTCCTTATCTGTACAGTTACTGGAGTTTTGAGATGTTGCTCTGCATGTTCCACTACCCCCCCACTTCCCTTCTGCATTCTGTGGAGTCCCCAGCAGAGAAGGAACTGGTGCCACTTCCCCCTTTATCATCCTCAGTATGGTTTGCATGCAGATCAGGTAAATGCTGCTAGCAAAGATCTCTAGTTTTAGGCAGCTGGTGTACATGTACAACATAGAGGGATAACACATCTCAAAAAACTCCAGGTACGGTGCAAGTAACTTGTATTTCTGCAGAGAGGGTGTGATTGGCCCTCCATGAGACATAACCAAAAACCTTGTGTAGGCTGCTTTCCTCTTTTCAGTTTTAAATGACATATTTCGGGAAAAGCATCAAGAGTCTTTCTTTGAATATCCACAAATATTTTTTTTCTTTTCACTTCTCCATTTGAAAGTTTTTCACGCTTTTACTCTCTTAATCCAACATGTGTAATTACACCGTCCATTCGGTTTGCCCTTGTGACTCTTGAGACGACACCAAGGCTGTGCAAACAGAGTGCAATATCTAGAGTAATGGTATTCATTTTGACCTCTCCATTTGTTGAGACTAAAACTTAATCTCAATGCCTTTGTAAACTGTGAACTTTCTGTACCAACATTTCCAAAATTGCTTCTTTTTTTTCTTTTTTTTTTATTAGGTGCATAGTGGAAACAGAGAACTTTGAGGAGCGAGTGGCTGTGTTAAGTAGGATTATAGAGATCTTGCAAGTTTTTCAAGACTTAAATAATTTCAATGGTGTGCTGGAGATAGTCAGTGCGATGAATTCTGTGTCGGTGTACAGACTAGATCACACATTTGAGGTAAGTCTCATGCATCATACTTAAACTAACCTGAATCAAGAAGCACATACTCATTATTTAAAAGCCTAATGTGAAATGCTCACAGATAGCGTTGTCATAAAAGTTCAGGTTTTTAATGGGCTGTAGAGGCACTCGCCTGCTTGCTAGCTCCGTTCCCAGCCCAGTTAGCTGAATGTCACAATCATTTTCTGGCTGCCTAGTGACTTGTGTGAAATGAGTTTGTAGCCTTAGTTCAGTTCACTAGTGGATGGGAGGGAAGAAAACCCCAGAGCTGTGAACTTGCCAGTGCAAATGCTCTGACAGCAGGTTTCCTATTGAAATGGCAGGGGTGGAGGGAGCAGTGGTACTGCAGATCTCCACAGATTGCAGCTCTCGGGTAAGCAAGTTTCAAACAGTTCAGCTCTTCATAGGTGAAAACAAATACCTTGAACTCCCTTTGGGAGCAGAAGGGTTACAGCTAGGGCATGGGGAAGACATGCTGCCACAAAGGCAGGTGATCCCTTCTTCCTTTAGTTGCTGGGGCTGGAAGCTACAACCTCATTGCCACTGCTTGTCCCCTGTCCTATACTCTCCCCTCCTCCTGCTCCCTAGCTACAGGTGATCCCAAATGATCCCTTCTTCCTTTAGTTGCTCATCAGAAGGGTCCATGTACAGGATTGGACATTTACAGGCTGTGTTCCAGGCCCTTATTCAGGAAGGTGCAAGCTCACTTTAAGGACCCTGTTTCTCAATAGGGGTGCTGTTAAGCTTATTTTTAAGCTCTCCTGTTCTGCTTATGCTACCATACATTCAGACTGGCAGAAGCCAGCTTTAGCAAATTTCAAGTAAAACATTTGAACTATTGGAAATTAAGCAGCACTGACTTCAGAAACAAAAAAGTACAAGAGCTCATAGTTGCTTGGTGATATCTTTTATTGAACCAGCTCTGTAGTTGGGAGGGATTCTGGACAAGCGTTCAGGCACAAAGAGCAACTTTTCAACTAAAATTAGTCTGTAGTAAGCTATGAAGAGATACCAATGAAATAGGACTCTTGAAATTCAGACGACTATGTGTAAAGAAATATTTGTACAGGTATTGCTTCTAGATAAATGAGTGTGTTTAGTTTTGAAATGTGTACAGGACAAATCAGGATCATGTTTTTAACTGATGGAATAAAGCACGTGATATAGTAGCACGTAAAACATAAGCTCGTATCATGAAACCGAGTTTTTATTCAACTCTGGATGCGAGGGGTATGAGGATAACTTGTTTTTACTAACCATCCCGCACAAAAAATACACATTGCTTTTTCTCTTCGATAAATTAGGCATTACAGGAGAGAAAAAAGAAAATGTTGGATGAAGCAGTAGAACTAAGCCAAGATCACTTTAAAAAATACCTAGCTAAACTCAAGTCAATCAACCCACCCTGTGTGCCTTTCTTTGGTAAGTAGTACCACAGGGCCTGAGTTAAGGTCCTTCATACTGAATTTCTTTTCTGATTACATCTGTTGAACCTGTCTGAGGTTTTGTCAGGGGTATCAGACTTACCTTGTGCCCTGGCCTGGGTCCAAACCACGGGGCACGAGGAAGCTGTCACCACTGTCTGCCCACCATGCACCCTCTGCCACAGCAGACTTCCAGCACAGGGCATGTAGTGGGGGTCAATGCCTGGGGAGTTTGAGTTGCAGTAGTGGCAACTGGTGAAGGGGCCAGAGGGCAGTGGGCTGTGTCAGTCTTTTCTTGTCCTTCTGCTTCCAATTATTATTCTGCAGCAGGCCACTGTGCCCAGCCACACTGGTTGTCCGCTGGCCTGCATCGAGCAACGGTGTGGGCTGGATCTGGCCTGTGGACTGTTTGACACCCCTCTTCTATGTTGTCCTCTGCCAAGGGATTGTTCTCAGCCTGCACCTCCCCCTTGGTTTCATAGACTTGTAATGTTTGTGGGTACTTAACTCCAGCAGTGTTTCCAGTTACAGGTTAGGGGTGAAAATGTTTCTGCCTTCTTTTGGCATTTCTTAGGAATTTTGCATTTTCAAGAATAGTTTTGAAAAAAACTACATTAACAACTCCTACTTTTACTGAATTTTTTTACCTATTAAATATGCTAGTATTCCTTGGGAATATTTTATTTAAAGGTTTCCTCTTTGCTTTACAAAAAAGTTATTGAATATTGCCCTATGTGCACAAACTTCAGTTAAAGAAAATAAGATTTCTCTTAAAGCTTGAATTTCATCTCCTTTTTTGTTTTTCTTGACATCATCCCTTTACTGCATGCTGGGGATGTGATCTCTGAACTCCTGACCTCACTATAGTAATATATTATTGAGGTGACATTTTACTTCCCAGGAGAATGTACAGCCCCATTGCTGTTGCTGGTGAATTCAGTATTGGTGCATCAAAGGAAAAGGCTTCCTTGACTTATGTATAGAGCTCTTTTGTTGTCATTTGTCAGCAAGAATGAAAACGGGTGTTGGGCTGAAATGTGAAAATTGTCATCTTTTTTTTCAAATTAGGAATATATCTTACAAATATTTTGAAGACAGAAGAAGGGAATCCTGACTTCCTTAAAAGACAAGGGAAAGAGCTAATCAATTTTAGTAAGAGAAGAAAAGTAGCTGAAATTACAGGAGAAATTCAGCAGTATCAAAACCAGCCTTACTGTTTACGGATAGAGCCAGAAATACGGGTAATCAAAGAAGAATCGCAATATGCTTATGCTCATGAATGCGTGCTTACGTGTTACTAGGCACATAATGCAAACATTATAGTATAATCTATACTCACTGTAATTGTTCTGGCTGTGGTAGCAGCAGGTGTGAGGGAGGAACTGCCGTAATAGCAGAATAACTGCAAATGATAATCAGACATCTTCAAACATGCACAAATTCCAAATCCCTCCATAGTTCATCGTGTTAGATTTATGGCTAATTCAGTCACTGCTCTGCAGGAGATACTGCTTGCTTTTGCTGTTACATTTCACAAGCACTCTGGGAATGAGTGGATGTGTTTAATGTGGGAGGAATTAAGAATAGCTATCAATTTTAAAACACCAGAATGATATGATGACAAACCAACGGTTTGTATAGAGGAAAAGCATGCCTCTGATCTAGAATCAGTCCTTTGTTTTTATCCAGTGTATTTGAACCATTAAAGTGCATGCTGACAAAAACCTACTGAACAGGCTGAACACCCATAGGATGAGTTGGTTATGGATTGAAGCTAGTTAAGAACAGAAAAAAAATATGAGTAGGAATAAGTGATCATCTTTCAGTTCCATAAAACCTTAAAAAATAGGGTTTTTTTTTAATCCGGGTTCTGCCCAAGACTATCATTTATTATGTTCCCAAATTGCAAAGGGTACTGACAGTTACCTAGTAGGATTTGTAGCTGACAGTTGTTTAGGTTAGCCAAAGATTAGAGAATCCTGAAGAATTTAAAGGGACTTAAAGCAAGGTATATTGTCAACATGATCCCAAATGAAATCCCTTTGCAAACGTAAGATAATGCTTAGGGAGAGTAAGAACTTCAAATACCCGTATGTGCCTTCTGGGGTTTTACATTAATGAACAGCTCCAGGGGAAAAAAGACCTAAGCCAGCTTAGTAAGCACTTCTGCTCAGTTTACAGCAGCAGTCAAGAAGCAATAAACATTAGGCTGCAAAAAGAATGAGATGGAGAACAGACCTGAAAATATATTAATGCATTAAAAACCTGTTTAATAATAGATCATACACCCTCCCATGGAATACAGAGCCCAGTTTGGGCTGCCCTTTAAAATGTACTCTATTAAAAATCAGTATTTGTAGCATGCTTTTGAAGTTTTGCAGACAAGCCTAAGAAAAAAATATTCCAATTTAAAGTTACAGTGAGGAGAATGGTAATATTTTGAAACTAAGCCAAGAAAAGACAGAGGCATGGTTATTCTGTGCCCTTTGCACAAATCAGATTTGGAAGAAAAAATGTGGGTTGAGAACCAAGGAACTGGGAGATCTAGGCGACTACATTAAGTTTTGGTGTGAACTTAGTCATGACTCTATCCATTTTCCTTTTCTCTCAGTCTCTTCACTGTGACACCATTCTGTACCTGTCCCTCATACCCTCATGTTTGCAGTCCTGCTAC